AGCAATGCTTGTCATTTATAGTACTGTGCTCTGGCTAACATTTTCAACCTTTTAAATTAAATATTTTTTCAAGAGGAGCTGCAAATAGCTGGCCACAGACGCTTAAGACTACTGACAGTCTTTTACCTTGGGCAAACCTGTTGTTCCAGATGTATACAGAATATAAAGAGGATGGTCTGAGGGAACAGAGACACATTCTGAACACTGTGCTTTTGCAATCTCTTCTTCCCAGTCAAGATCACGACCCTTGGTAAGAGGAACATGGCCCTGCCCATTGAAAAATAAGAAGATTGTCAAAAGAAAACCACAGGGAATAAATGGAATTCATTCAAAAAACATGCACTATTCAATTTTTTATATAGTACTATTAAATTTTTGGTAATCTCACTACTGCATTAGTTCTATTTAGTATTTAAATCTTATTAATACAATGCTCGCCCTTAAAAAACAAACTACAACAGATACAGTAAAATATTTCATGCAAAAAAGTAAAGGTAAATGCACTACACAAACATGTGAAAGTTAACACAGAGGCACTACAACTGTACACCCACCAAATTAAGTCGCTGGTAAACGAGAACTTTATCAGGTTTACTCTGTACCCTTGCCAGTGCTGCTTCTAGGAGAGATATGTATTCCACTTTTCTTTTCGGTTCTACTCCAAAACTTGCTGTTACAATAAGTTTGGGCTAAAAAAAATAAGATAGTTAATAAGTACAGTTGCAATGTATTTTAGATACCTAACCTAAAAACATTTTCCATTAAATTCAGTGTATACAATTTATCTTTACATAATTAGACACAAGGTTTTAGATCCGTTTTCTAGATTACATCAAGCTTGTGCAATCTCACTGTCCACACATCTGCTTTTTGTTTGGAAGAACATTAATACCTTCTGAGACTTCACTATTTTCAAGCATATTTGAGTAAGAAATCAACAGTATTCTTATTAGTTGCACAAGTACTAATGAATACATCTTAGCTCCATCCAATAAGGATGAGTGGTGCAATGATGTCAACAGTTAGCTGTATTGTTTTGCCTTCTACATAATGCTTCCGATTTCGTATTTCAATACTAACTGAAGAACTTTCCTAGCTTTTCCAAAGTCTGCACTAAAAGTCACTGGACAGAAAACAGAGAAAGAGGGAAAAGAAGGCAAACAAGAGATGGCAGGAAACTAGAAATATAGGAAGAGAAAAAGCTAAAGTCATAAGGCACATGAGGGAAATAAGGCTAGAGCTTCTCAAGACTGAAAAGGATTCCGGGTGGATTGAGGGTGCAAAATTACTAAAAATCAGATTTGTATAGTTCTGGGGCTTTTTAAACTAAGACCCATTTCCAGATGTGGATTTCACATCTTTACATCACAATAAAGCTTTCATGTAAGACTTTCTAAATTAAGAAATCTGCCTACAAGATATTTTGACTTAGGTCCAAACATCAGTATTTTTATTTTTTGTTTTTTAGGGAAGAAAAGGTAATACCAAAGCAACTATGTGTTAAAACATATTTTACTTGGAAAAGAATGAGTCTTCAATCCCCGTTGTTTTGAAATTTTAGAAGTTTATTTATCAGATGGTGCTCACTTTGATCAAGCGAGTTTACTAATTGTATGCATTAGCATAAATCTCATTAAGTAGGCATAAACCACAATGCCACAGTTAAGGCTAAATTAAATTCAGCAGAGAAAGCAAAGATTAAATAGTTTTCTTGTGCCATTATACAATGTTTCCTGTCTAAATCTGCCATTCAGGAAAGATCCCTAATTGGTGTGTATTCAATATAAAGACTTTGGATGAGCTTTAAAATTTCAGCATTCATTGATTTTCCTTTTTGGAATGCATTGATATAATAGAAGATGATACAATACAATGTGATTAAGCTGAAAATTCATTGGGACACCATCCTGAAGATAGACTTCAATAAATACAAGATACACAGTTCTATTCAAGTGTAAAGATGAAAGACTCTTGCTATCACTAGCTTTATAGTAATTTGTAAATGATGTCACCTGTGCTCATCAACTGCTTTGTATGTAATAAGGACATCCAAAAATAACCAATACTAAATTAGCTAGAGTTATGTACTACCAAAGTGAAGAAGCATCATACATCACTTTGAGCAAATAAAAGGCCCAGTACTGGTTTTAACTGCTCTTTTCTTCTCTCTGCCTAATGATATTATTTCCCCTGCACCTCTGCTCCCATATTGCTTCATGTGGCTCCACGTAGTCCTATATGTTAAGATTAGATAGAAATATACCAAGTTTGGAGAAAAAACAGGGAGAGTTCAAGGGTCTGCTGGAGAAGAAACAACATAGATAGTGAGTGTAGTGGCAAAACCAACACAGTTAGCTATAGAAAAAACAGTATTATGAAGCAGAAACGAGATAAAGCAAGGCCCAATAGTAAAGACCTTGGTATAAGACCAACACTTTTATTCTGTTACTCCTCCTACAAATTCTTATATACTCTCTAATACTCCTCAAGTGACGCAGCTGGCACTCCTGACAGGATACCGTCCACAGGGACATGGATAAGCTCAAGGAACAGGCCCATAACATCTTAATGAGCTTCAACGGGGCCAAGTGCAAGGTCCTGCACCTGTGCCAGGCCAAGCCCCCCCAAAATCAATGCTCTCTGGGGACTAAAGGGATTTAGAGTAGCCCTGCCAAGAAGGACTTGGGGATACTGGTGGATGAGAAGCTGGACATGAGCTATGCCTGCTATAATAGGACAAGGAGATAATGGTATTAAACTATAAGAGGGTATATTTAAACTACATATAAGGAAGAAATTTTTTGCAATGAGGGTGAAATACTGGCACAGGTTGCTCAGAGAGATGACACATGCTCTCCTCCTGGGAACATTCTAAGTCAGGTTTGACAGGGCTCTGAGCAACCTGATTAACTGAAGATGTCCTTGCTCACTGCAGTGAAGTTGGACCAGATGACCTTTAAAGGTCCCTTCCAACTGTTCCATGACTGTATCAACCTACCCCAGTTTTGATATTTACAAACTATATATTCCCAGATTCAAGTAAAAGGAAAGATAACAAAAAATCCTGTTCTCATTCTCTATATCACTTCATTGCAATTCACTGCAGAATGTTACTATGGCCTGTAACTGCCAACACCTGACACAAGAAGAAATTACCAGCTGCAGGACTTTGCAGCATTCCCAGACCTATTTAAAATTCAAGATTAATTAAGGTAAGATGGCCAACTATACCTTTTCACAGTCACTAGAAAGTGCTTGTTATTTCTTTCACTCAGACTTTCCAACAGTATAAGTATGAAGTTTGATCTTTCTTCCACAAGAGCATCTTACAGCCAGCTTTCCACTGGACATCTTTAACACTTTCTAACTAATTTTAGCAACATCAGGTCTTGTACTGTAGCATCTAAACCAATTCATATAAAAGCCTAATAAAAAGCTTAGTTTATTGTGCAATTGCTTTACTTATTCAGCATTTTACTGTCTATCACAGGTACTTACAGGTAGCCTCAGGAGTGTATAATTCACCTATCATGAAAGCTTTACCATGCTGAAAATTGGGGCATGTTTTGAAATTTAGATTAAGGATGTACCTCTCCTCACTCACATTTTCATTATACATCAGACGGACCAAAAATTATCCATAACACTGCCTTTTAAAGAAATCAAAAGGCAATGTAAATTAGGACTTAGTCCATGGTTTGCAGCTAATAATTATATAGCTCTTCGAGAGTTGCTGTGTGACCTTGGGTAGCAGACTTCAATTTCCTCTCTTTTCATTTTAATGAATGATTCAAGGATTATGATTATTGTGCTCTCTCCCCTTTTTCCTGGGGAATAATCATTGGGATTAATTAGTTAATAATTGCAAAATACTCTAAAAGTAAACATGCTAGACGATTTGTATTGTAGCTACCTCCGTTTTTAAAGCTTATAATTTTTTCTTCTACATTATTTTTACCTAATTATAGCTTGCTAAAAAAATGGGGAAGTGGGAAGACAGACCAGGAAAACTAGAGAGCTGTTGTTAGCCTCTTTTCATCATTCCAACAAACCATTTTGGCCATTTTAACATCTTTGTTAAAGCATCCAGGAGAGGAGGGGACATGCATTCAACTCTCTATTTACAGATATTTATAACACTGAAACTTCAGTCATCTGAAAAGCACTCCTGCACACAGAAATCTAAATGAACGTTCCACAAATCCTGGAGACTTGAACCCTACACAAAATCCTGTTTTAGTTTATACGTCTAAGCAACATGATTCAATGATAAGACAGCTACCACAGGGAGTCTGAATGCTTCAGGTGACTGATCAAGGTGACAAAGACTTCACCTTGTTCACTAGTAGAAAACAAGAATAGGCCATTCCACTGTTAGCTGGTTTGAAACTAATCCATACACAAGCTACTAATATGCCTATATAGAGTACTAAGAATAATCAAGCACTATTTTCATTTCAGTAGCATAGACATCATAATGCTTTATAAACAAGCTCAAGTTATGCTGAACACAGAAGCCTTTAAAGCTTTCACCTCTATTAATTATGTAATCTGCACAGTCACTTCTTTAGGGCAACTGTTTCCATAGCTGTCCTGCTTTGCGTAGAAATTAAATGAAGCAGAATTATAACTTGTTCTAGTTCAAGCCAGGACAGGGTTAATTTTTGTAATAGCCAGGAGGGGCATGGCCAGGATCCAGAGGTCATTCTATACCACCTCAAGCCATACACAGGGTGGGAAGGGGGATGGCTCCTTTCCAGAGGGTGTGGTGGGGTAGTGTGTGGATCTCTGCATGGTGTGAATCATTCACCTTTCTTGCACACTGCTATGAATATTGCTGCTGTTACTGTTCATTTATTTCATTGCTATTTCTAGCACATTGTTCTTACCTCATCCTGATCTTTACCTTTTAGGCCTCCAATTCTCCTTTCCATCCGACCACAGCGAGGAGGAGGGATAGGAGGGAGCAAAAAAGCAACGTAAGGTTTGAAGCGTTTCAATGAAAACAATAAATTGGGGAATACCATTCCTAAATCAAAACATAGCTGAGAAAATGTATTACCTAATACGTCTACACATCAAAAAAGCCAATGAAATCACTTAGGGCTGGCAGAATTTTCCTCATACATTTGTTGAAAATGCTGAACCAAAAGCCAGTATTAAGGAGGTGCTTTGTAGAAAAAGATAGACAAACATGAGAAGAAAGTACACTCCATACAGATAACAGTGTGTTAAAATCCTGGTGTTTAGAAGGGGTCAAAATTGCTCACTTGGTGTCTGCTATAGAAGCATCAACCTCAGCACAGACATAGTATTTTGTTCATATTGCAACAATAGGTGTTATAAACAAATTGAGATTGTGTGCCACACAAAGAGAAATGTTATCTGTCTGGGAAAAAATCCAAACAACAGGTTTTTCGTATTTACTGATAGGAGCAACTAATGCAGTGGTGGCTTTTTTTTTGCTCTAAACAGGTTATTTATTACCTTTGCATGATCAATGCGAACCGAAAGCTCTTTAGATGCAAATCCACCAAAAATCAGGCTATGGATGGCTCCTATTCTTGCACAAGCCAGCATACAGTACACTGTCTGTGGAATCATGGGCATGTAGATGACCACACGATCTCCTCTCTTCACACCATGTTTGATCATGACATCAGCTAACCTGGAGACCTGTACTGACAAAACATTCATATTTGAAGTTTCTCCAGATCTGCTGTTGCCCCATAAAAAAAACAACTTTCACACAGTCAGCAGATGCACTACATCAAAGAGAAAACCAGCATGATAAAGAAAGTTGATGTAATGTAATCAAGGTTCAATAAATTTAAGACCATTTCCTTTTTGCAAAAAACCCACTAATACATTTTTCTTTTTTAAAATGAAAATGGAAAGAGACTAATTATTGCAGACAGTACATTAAAAAAAAATAGCAATGCCTAGCAAATTTTTAAATGTCAGTCTACCAGTCATTTTTTTATTCAGGCCACAGCTTATATTTCTCAATTTTAGCTCTTAAGAATGAATGCAAACAGGTATTTCATAATATAAGTTCTGTCCCAACTAGCCAACTTTAAAACACTAATCAATATGTAGTAGTATTTTCTTTACTGCAGTATCATAAATTTCTCAGCATCGGCAACAAGAGACCTTATACCCTGAACCAAAGGTGAACACAAATTCAGAGAAATATCTAGATCTAAAATTAATTTTTAATTAATCATTAATTAATTAATCATTGTCAGATTTTCATTTTTGCTATGCAGAAACCTGAGAGACTGTGTACAGCAGCAAAGGACTGGAACTCAAGAAATACAATAGACTGGTCAGCAGCAATGCCTCCATAACACCATGAGAAAACATTTATTACTTTGAGAGTACACAATATTCGGTCACAAAAGCAGTACTGAATATTTCGTTAGTATTTACCACATATTAAGTTGGATTATAGTGAGCATGGGAGCCTGTGACAAGCACTGTGAAGTCGTCCCAACCTGCTTGTTGTAGCATGAATATGTGGCAGCTTCTGAAATAAATGCTTTCACTTGTAATATTGGAAAATTTAAGTTTTCTCTTTTTAAAGAGTAACTACATTCAGTCCTAAACCCCTCATAAATACATTGAAAATATATATCAACTGCTTTGTATGCAGTAAGGACATATAAAAATAACCAATACTAAATCAGCTACAGTGATGTATTTACCCAAGTAAGAAGCATCATGGATCACTCTGTGCAAATCAAAGGTGCACGGCTGGTTTTAACTGCTCTTTTCTACTCTTTTACCTCTCTACCTAATGACATTATTTCCTGCACCTCTGCTCTCATATTGCTTTTATATATCAATTTCCCACTTCACTGTTTCTCTCTTCAGTGGAAATAGAGGTTCAGACTTCAAGTAACCTGAGATATTAACATTCAGAAGCTCCAGGAGCATCTGCTCTGTCTTTGCATTACATTCACAGCTCATCCACAATCAAACACCACATTTCTACATTCTCCTCAAGGATTTAAGAAAATAGAAACATAGAAGCCCCAAGCAAGCACTCTTGCATGAGAAGATATTGCGTAAGTTCCGTTTTTGTAAGCATTGCATAAATCTGTGCTGTTATTTTCAACCACAAGAAAGAACATGTTTGTAAGGCAAAGTCATCACCACACCAAGCTGAAAAACTCACACAAACTAAGGTATCTGTATGATTTGTACGGAAAAGATCTCTTATCTTAAATATTACTGATTTTCAAGAAAAAGTATCCTTAATGCTAGACTTATTAATACCTATCAAGATCATATAAAACTCATATACACTATGAAAACTCAACAGAAGCCAAAGACTGGACATGTACAAAGCTAGCATTTATTGCCATACCACCAGCATTTACAGTCACTTCTAGGTATAATTAGTGAAAGCAATTGTAAATAAATATAACAACTCTACTTCCAAAGGTAAATTACTTTTCTATACTTCCTAGTGTGAAAATGTTAAAATCTGCAAACACAGAGCTAACACCACCTTCTCTCAAAGAAACAAGAAAGCTAATCATTATCTTCCCTGCTTGTGACTCTCAAGCAGTGTTGACAAAAAGGCCAGAGGCAATGCAAATAACATTTAATATTTTTATAGCCACTGTAAGTGTGGAGAGTGGGCAATAAATAGTCAAACACAATGGACAAGTATTACTCATTATCATTATTTAATAAATAACTATTAATAATTATGAAAAAGGCAATGTTTGCCTGCTAAAGCAAAAAGACAATGTTTAATGATCGTAATTAGTAATTTTGTAATAGAAGACTCCCAGTGCCTGTAAACAAGCTATATAACTGGTTCCTGGGTGTAGGAGGGAGACAGTGAAGAGATCTGCATGCATTTAAATAATTTTTATTGAAACCTATCATAGCTAAATTGTATTTAAAGCAGAACATGTGTACAGCATACTGCAGACAGGAACTACATGTCACTTCTGCAAACCCAGTAATCACGTGTCTGTACGTACTTTCCCCACCCTAAAGACTGTAAGGTCACTGAAGAGAACAATCCAATACAATGCACAGGTATCTATTATTTTCCTTGTGCCCCATCCTTCTGACAGACAGAGAACATTTGGACTACACAATAAAACACTGTCTCTTCTNTATTTGGAAGACAGGGGAACATTGTAAAGCAGGTTTACATCGTCCTTCTGACTGATGTGGTAGCCCTGAAACATCCAAGCAATCACTCTTTCTAAAAAAAAGGGGAGGGGAGAAAAGTGAGTACTGACAATTCATTAAATTATTAAAAGCCATGAAACCTTCCACTTTGTTACAATGTGTTGTCATTTATGGTTTACATTAATGCAGTGTAGTGTACTTTATCATTCAAAAACTAACAGGCTATTTCTCCACTTTTTTTCAAGTTTAAGACTGTTCACTCACTTTAATATATTTGACATTTTCACTAATAAAATCACTTGAAATTAAGTGACATAATAAGAAACTCAAGTAGGCCTTAAGCTTGGACCAGAGCATAAATTACACTTCTATCAAATTCATGGACCCAGGGAGCATGGTTTTACTTTTACCCAGCAACCAAATACTATAGCTGTATTAGCAGCTAAGGCTTCTAAGTCATTCAGTTCTGAAGTAAACTCCTAGCACTTACCAAAAGCAGTTTTGGTCCATGCCAAAAAAATTCATCAAAATATACAAAACCAGAAATCAACTCAAAATGCTCAAAAGAGGAATTCCAAACCCTCCTGGGTTGAACAGTGACTGGGACACACAAGCGGAGACTCCTTCAATGTAAGCTAAACTCTTCTAGACCTACAAGATCCATGAAAAAAATACAAATTTTCAGCAGATCTCTTTGTTACTTTTGTTTTCAGGAGTCCAGTAGCTAGCAGATAAACCAAATTAAACTTCTTGTACAAGAGAGGACCAGAAAGCTTCAACAGACAAGCTATTAATATCAAATATTGCCTTTCACATTTATTTGCTTTTGATTAAGAGCAAACTGCAGAGAATTCAGAAATAGTATTTAGATAGGACTCAGCCTCCAGCAAGATTATAATGAACTTCTGAGTGAGTACTGCTACATTTCCCAGAAAACTTAAACCAATTCTTTCACTTGGTTTGGCAATGCTCTGTAACAAGAAATGTAGATGAAAGGACGTGTATGTCAACTAGCAAAATTTTCTCACTTTGCACAAATTCACCATGTCTTAAGACAATTAATACACTGAAAGAGACATAAACTTAGGAAACTTAATACAATATCAGGCTTAAAAAGCAGAAAAAAGGCTACTTTTCAAGATCTTTTCAGAGGAAATTTCTACCAAGCAAGCTCACTTAAGATAATTTACATTAAAATGTTGTATTTCTGCATTAAAATAAACCAAGTGTTAGATGCAACATATATATACATTAATTTAATATATACACATATATTTACATATCTAATGTGCATGTATCATACTTATTGAAGACAAAGGACACAAAAATTGTATATCTAAAATTGTAAATGTACTTATTATATATTAGTATAAATAAAATTAGATAAGGAGCTGGATCATTTCAAAGTCTTCTGACTCCTTAAGACACTGAAGCTAGTTGTTCCAGCTCCAGCATACCGTATGGCATGTTGCTTTTTGGACTTGGTAAATAAAAAGAAAACTGCTAAGGAGTACATGTTTTCTACATTTTCCTTAGAAGGTAGAATGCATAACAGGTTTATAATTTCTTTGTAGCTGTATGACTTCTCTTTTCTTGCAACAGTGGAATAAACCCCTCACAAACTGAATTACTGTATTCTGAACCTCATTTCACATTTCAAACCACAGGATCACATTACTCCAGATACTACATGCATAACTTAAGTACAGTGAGTGTGCTGCATTCAAAGCAATCCATCTTGCACACTGAAACACATTAAAGAAGAATACGAGCCCAACTCCAACATTTCTTTGCACTCAGTGTAAGTTCAACTGCTACATGTAACTGGAAGTAAGAAGGCAGCTGAACAAGAGTAGCAGCATTAGGCCAAACCTCCAGCAGACAGCCCTGAGAGCCAAGAACCTTCAATGGGGCAGGCTGCAAGCACCCATGGTGAAGCATGGAGTTAATCTGAACGGGCTGATGCAGAACTGGATATTCACAACCTTATCAGGACTAAGCTACCTCAGCCAACAGGGAAGTGGAAATCCACAGACCTTCCAGACAGAAGGGCCACCAGCATTCCAATGACAGCCTACATAGGGGCACGTGATGCAGCTTTCTTTGGAGTTCCCCCATTTAAATTTCATTTAGGCTTACACTCAATTATGTGCAGCAACAGCCAAGGTACACATTTCATTTCTATGGAACTGTACTTTCACTCATCACAGCAACTGTCAAGAGACTTAACTAATGCTATGTCCAACCTGTTAATTAAGATCTGTTAAGGGAAAAGAAAATGAAATCAAATATAGACAAGTTAAAAATTTAACCAATCAGGAAAAAAAACCTATGAAACTATAGAAGAAAAAGAGGTAATAGAGAAATTTCAAAATCTATTGGATGCAGCATAATTTGGCAGAGGTAGAAAAGCTTATAAATCAATACTGAGCACAGCAAAAGGAGTGAACTAGTGAAGCAGATCGTTTCTACCTCTGTGTATCTACCTACTATGCGATACTTATTGCCCTTTCTCATTAACAAGGTTATTCTGAAACATACCTGTTCCAGAAGTTCCTTATATGTTATTTTGTCCTTGGTATTTGTTACAGGACTGTCATAAATAATGGCAATTTGGTCTCCTCGTCCATTCTCAACATGACGATCTACAGCGTTGTAACAGATATTCAGCTCTCCACCTACAAACCTAAAAAAAAGTTTGAAATATGTAACAGCTAGCCTTCCAAACTAAGACACCTTTTTGTTTGTTTTTTTGGCATTTAGTGTTTTTCTTTTAAGGAATAAAAGCATTCAATTAAAACATAGCTCTTGAAACATTATACTCACTTCAGGAAGTTCCTTTGTTTTTTATTCTGTAAACTCATGATTGAGTCAACAAGCTAAATACGACCACTGGTGAAAACAGAAAAGTTAAAGGACTGTACCTTAACTGACTTAAGAATCTGCTAAACATGGTCTTGGTTTAACTTACTTTGTATTAATCACTCTGATTTTCATATGTATGGTATTAGAGAAAAAATTCACATAAAATAATTGGACATTATGGAAACATTATTTTATCCTACTTTGAATTGGCACACACACATACCCCTTTCAAGGAGAACAGGTTCAGGACTCAAAATAGTCTTATTCATCTCTTGGCAATAACAGTTAAACATACAAGCATCTGTAGCTAAATGAAAGGGATTCCAAGTTATAAGATCATATTATTATAATGCATTGGACAACACTGTCTTATATGAGTGACTCAAAATTTTCAGTAAAGTGATATGAGTCATAACTTCTTCAATAGCAAGACACTTAGAGAAAATTCTTATCTTCCAATTAAAGAAAAAAACATATCATAAACTTGGGTTTCACTTTTATAGTCATTTTACACAGAAAAATAAAATTCAAGTGCGGTATAATCCTCAAAGTAAAAAACACAGAAGGTACCTGATACAAAGACAACTCTATTTACTGGAAGATGACACAGTACCTAGAAGTTAAAGTTCACACTAAATTATGCCCTTTTGTTTATTTTTCTATATTCATGTATCTCTGTGAAGCAAAAATAGCAATATACGAAAAATACACAGTTGGCAGCTTCCAAAAGGTTCTATGGGGATAACTGTAGAGTGGTAACATTATTATAATGCAAATAGAAATAACAGATGGCCTAAAGTAACCCACTGCTAGTGTAAAAAAAGTATTTTCTTCTTCACACAGATGCTATGAGATAGACTTTATTGTCCAAAAACAGCAATTACGAAATTAAAACCAGTTAGGATGTTTAGGATGCAGTTAACTTACTGCAACTCCTTCACAATGCCATTAATAAGGAGAAAGTGGGGGACCATAAAAGTCACAAATCATTCTGGACAAAAGTCTACAAAATCCTTCCCCTAAAAGGAAAACCATATGCACAATAAAGGATCCAGAATTGTTTCACATAATACAGAGTAACTCTGTATTACTGTCATAAAAGTTGTGTAAGATTCATATTTTTATATCAAATCACTGTAGGATGATATTAACAAGGGAACACAGCACCTGGGCTATGCATATTCATTTAAAAATGGTCAAAACATGAGCAGGCACAAGAGCTTTGGTTCTTCTAAAGATACATAGCAACATCAACATGAATTTTTAGCAATCATTTACAAACAAGTGTGTGAAAGACTTAAATCAAAAACCAAGATTATCTGGAAGGTGTGATGAGAGCTTTGTTCACCTGTCGAGAAGGAAAGAGGTTCTGATAGGATACACTTTTTTACATGAAATGAGAGTAGAAGTTGAATAAAAATGTTGGACAGAATTAGATAATTTGAGATATTATAATGTAAATTGACCCTGTCACAGTTTTAAAAGTGTAAGCAACATTTGAATAGCAATGTGGGCAACATTTCCAAAATTCGAAGGTGATTATATATATTGCACTTATGTCTTAGCATGAGAGGAAAAACATGTTACAAAACTGCCTTCTGCCTGCACATGGTAAAGCAAACTGTTTCCACATTCCTAAATAAATAGTTGTTTTAACCCTTTTAACTAGCATTCCACAAGATTCAAAAATAATCTGTTGAAATGTTTCACTAACTTCAGCATTAAAAAGATTTTTCTCTCTATCATCTAAAGACTCAGCACACTGACGGCTGGTAACCATTTGGAACTTCAGAGGCATTAAAGTACAACACTCTATCATATACAGCCTGTTATCACTTAAAGTGAACTTAGAAATAAAACTGCATGTAGCACATTAAGATATTTGTTTATATAAATCTGAATTTCTTAAATTTTTAATATCCACAGAACAACAGGTACCTTGCATACAAACAACTACAGCCTGATGTTGAGTCTTCAGACTTGCACCTTTGTATAATGCCAGAGAATCACAGACTGGCTTGAGATTGGAAGGGACCTCTGGAAGGCACCTGCTCAGACAGGTCTGTGGCATCCCACTCTTAAGGGAAAGGCAGAACCTAAGAACCTTCTGGTTTTGTCACTGGACATCACTGAAAAGAGTCTGGCTCTGTCTTCTGTACAACCTCCCTTTAAGTATTTGCCCACATTAACATGGTAATTTCAGTTTCTGCATCCACAGAGGAAGAAAGACACAAGTTAAAAGTGACGCTAGAAAAGAGCTTGGATGATAAGTCTGACTTCATACAATAAAACATCAATTTTTCCCTCTCATAAGGTGAAATAGCTTCTACCTGAGAAGCAATGCTTTACAAATGCCTAAGTCTGTTATTTTAAGCAAATTTATCCTGCTCAGCAAATCAAACCACACTTGTTTGACAGAATCTGATAGTAAAACTATGTTCATTTGCATGCATAATATTCTCATTCCTTAGTCCTTCAAAAGTACTCATTGTACTGATTTCATGATACTGTTTGGGGATGCCACAGCCAATGAGTTTTACTGATGTTTAATCACAGGATCACAGAACCTATTAGGTTGGAAAAGACCTTAAGATCATCAAGTCCAACCATTAAACACAGCACTGCCAAGTCCACCGCTACATCTTGTCCATAAGGTGTACACCTTGCCACATCTACACATCTTTTAAGTACCTCTAGGTTTGGCAGTTCCTTCACTTCCCAGGGCAGCCTGTTCTAATGCTTGACAACTTTTCAGTGAAGAAGCTTTTCCTGATATGCAATATTCCTAATATCTAAACCTCCCCTGTTGCAACTTGAGGCTATTCCCTCTTAAGGTCCTATCACTTGTTACTTGGGAGAAGAGGTTGACCCCCCACCCGGCTACAACCTCCTGTTACATAATTACAGAGGGCAATAAGGTCTCCCCTGAACTTTCTTTTCTCCAGGCTAAACAACCCCAGCTCCCTCAGCTGCTCCTCATATGTCTTGCTCTCTATACTCTGATCTAGACCCTAACTATACAGACAATCCTACCTGGACTTTCTGAATAGTGCCATAACCTCGAGATCAAAGCCTCAAGGACCCTATCTATCCACTGTTACACAGCCCATCATGGCTGGATGTTACTTATAATTTAGCTAAAGACACAGATTTTCACTATTACAGGTGTCAAGCAATGGTATCAGACACCAATAAGAAACCCAGTTCCACTCCACTGGTTCTGTATCTTTTAATTTGCACAGATTTGAGAATTATCAATGTTTTTAATTATATTTTTAGAATGATTAGCATTTTCAAACAAAAAAAACCCCAGAAAAATACAAAAAGGGCAAAGAACATTAATGTACCAAACAAAGATGACCCTTATCTTACATTGCCTTTCATATTCTGCATCAGTTTCTTCTTGAGAAAAGATCAAAGAGCATAATGTAAATTTGCTGAAAAAGAGGCAAAGGTAGTAAACACAAAATTTTAACAGCACACTACCTTTGAGAAAGTATTGAAAATCCTATCCAGTTATTTATAAGAAGAATATCATATTCTGTCTTAGGGTAGTTCACCATTCACTGATGAAGATACATATTACAACGCCAAGGCCTTTGCCAAACATTACCTTAACCACAACGTCTAAATTATGATCTACTTACACAGTATCTGAGATTAAACAATCCCGAAAGCCAGTTTTTATACACCTGTGTTTCCGTATGCCTGCCTTCCCTGGCATCTGACGCCAGGTTTCCCGCGCTCACATTAGCCTGTCGCCAATTCAGAACCAAAAGGGGTTGGATGGGGAGCATCAGGCGCACTCATCCACACCATTAAGTCACACAAGTCTCACCGGCCAGAGTGCACGCTAACACGCCCTCACCCCAACATGCTCATCCATGCTGCTTTTAATCATTAATTTTAACCAAGTGCAATCATTTAACTCTTTCAAGCTCCGCAGCCGTCTCCTCCAACAGCGACGGCACACCGACAATCCCAGAAGGGTGCTGCGATAGTTCTGTGGTGAGACCCCCAAGCCAGCACACCCGCAGCCGCCTGGGCAGGCAGAGTTCTTTCTCCCCGCAAGAGCCGAGCGGAGCTGCCCCGGCCCTGCCGTGCCCCGACCTCCGCACCGGGGCACTCGGCTACTCACCACGAGGCGCTCCCCAGGCTGCCCCTCTCCAAGGTCCGGACCCAGGGCTTGTACCACTGGATCTGCTCGGCGACTTCACCCCAGACCTTCTCGGGCTCCGCCAGGCAGGACCGAAAAACTTCCTCGTAGTTGCCCAGCGCCCGGGAGGAGGCAGCGCGGCCGCCGGGCGGCGGGCGGGGGGCAGCGGCGGCCCGGGCCGGGAGCGGGACGCCCGCACAGGGCGGGCCCGGCCGCCGCCAGGCACCACCACCCCAGCCCGCCACCGCTCCACTAAGTCTTGGCAGCACCGCCAGCTTGTCCAGGAAACCCATCTTCCACGGTCTTCAAGGGAAAGGGACGGTACTGGCTTCTCTAAGGCTCCAACACGCTCTCGGACGGTACAGGACAGAACGGCAGCGGCTCCCCGGGGTCCGCGGGGCACGGCGGAACTGCCCCCACGGCGGGCCGGGCCGGGCCGAACTGCCCCGCCCGCGGCCCGGCCCTGCACCACCGCCCCTCGGAGCTGCCGGGAAGCGGCTGGAGCAGAGCAGTGAGCGTCCCTTCAGCTGTGCTCGGAGCCGGAGCTGAGCGGGCTGGGGCCGGCGCCATGACGGGGCGTCCCGAGCCGTCAGCGCTTGGCAGGCACCGAAGGCGGCGGAGGGACTGGAAAGGGACGCTGACACCTCAAAGTATTTGTGACTTACAGGTCTGCGTGACACGTAGCCAGAGTACTCTTCAAGTATTTATTTTGAAAGACATTCTTGCTTTAAGGAACTTCCCAATGATTAAATGAGGCATACTGTTTGTGCCAGAAAAAAAAAAAAAAAGTTCATTCTGCTTTTCAGAAAGCCTCTATCATCTGTAGTAGATCTTCGGTTTTGCTTATTTTGGCGTATATTTAGAAATCCTTCTTGAGTTCCAGTGGCCATGATTCAGAGTATTACAATGCACAAGTCAGTTAAGGCATACACCATCTTCAAATGTTATTTTATGACTTACGAAATTATTTTAGTGCTTTAATAGGCCTATCCATTACAGGTTTCTCAGCATATTCTCCCTGTAATTACATTATAAAAATGTCATCTAGTAAAGAGAAACTCTGTAATGTGTTTTATATTCATTGCTAATTTAGGAACCTGTTTCCTAATTGTTGTTGAATTAGTGCAATAAGAACATAACAATTAATCACATTACAGGTAAAGGAATAAGGAATGAGAAGAAATGGACTGTTTACTCACGACAGTAGGTTTAATACATGAAATCAGTGTATTATCCTGGCCCAAAAGACATGAGAGGTGGAGTTCAGGTTCATCAGAAGTTTTAGGTCATCTTCAAAATCCATAATGGTCTTTCAGCATAAAGATTGATTACTGCTGTGATAATTGATAAAAGATTCGTGTTAATCACAAAGTTTGTATGAACCAGAATACTAAGGTCTGAAGTGAAGCATGGACCTAGATAAAGGAAAATACATGATTAAATCATTCTGTCTTAAATCACCTTGTTATGAATATTATGTTTTCCAAATAAGTTGTATCGACTACCAGCTTGCAAAATCAGACTTCCCAATAGAACTTCCCAATCAGACTTTCCTGCCTTTATTTGATCCATGCTGCCTATCTCAAGGATCAGACTTCCAGATTTCGCTGCTAGTTGTCTGCAAAGACCCGATGGTTATCTGTGAGACTGACAATCGCCAGAGACTTTGTGAATTTGGATAAGGATGTTTATTCGACCACCACTGCTTACCTGACAAAATTATGACAGCAAAAAACCAAAAATTATTGATTACAACGAGAAACCATAGTATAAGAAGAGGCTGCAAACCAAGGTTTGATGGAGCATGGAGTGGGCAGTGACCCCTCACATTCCGCAGCGCTGCTTGATCCGTCTATATCAAATAAAGCCATCTAAATTTTGCTGAATATAGAGACTTTTGTTTCTCGTTTATAGCACTGTTTCTGTTTCTGGGGCCTATATAATTATCTCACAGAGTTCCCTCTGGTCCAGTGCTGTGTGAAATACCTCACCTCACTCTCTTCCCTATATGTGTCACAATGGCATAAAGTAAGTAAGTACTAAGTAGCATAATGGGATTTCCAAAAATGCTCAAGTTAAGAATCAAAGACTTATTATTTAAAAAGAAGTTAAAATCCCAAAAAACTCAAACATCTGAAGGACTAAGTGGACATTTTATGAAAAGTTTCCTACTGCTACAGCATGCCAACAAAGTAAGAAAATTAAAAATACATTAAAAAAATGTTCTCAATTGTAAGAATTTTATTATTTTGCCCACACTTTCATCACTTTGACAGGACTTTTGCAGCCAACAGAGTTCGGTAGTCAAAGGTTTAAAAAATAAAGAAAAATAAAGAGAAGCTTGCAGATACGGAAAACAATGTTGACACCATGAAAGCCCTGAACTCAGATATCGCTGCAGGATGCTTGGTAGTGCATGCATTGTACAAATATGCCTGAAGAACACAACTTCCCAGTCAGGTCACACATAGTTGATTTTAGCATTTAAAAAATATCCCCAGAATTATATTTTATATTTCCTACCTTTATAATAGGTAGGATAATTTTGACTTAAAAAACAATTCTGATTTAAAGTTATTACAGAATCACAGTTATTTTGTTTGTTTGTTTGTTTTTTTGAAAAGCATCACACGCAGCCTCAGACTGATGTTCAGAATGTGGCTGAGTCCAGTGCAGTGACTGTCTACCAGAGGTGTGCAACTGGTGGACTTAACAAGAGGTATCAGCTGCCTCAGCCCAATTGGTGAATCCCACTTCCCCAATTCAAATTCCTAGAGGTACATTATCCACTCCCAAGGAGTAACCCTTCATACTATTTGCCTTACAAGCTGTCTTCTTTGGATCACCAACACTGCAATCGATGCCCAGCTAGTTAAGAAAAGCCCTATAGCAATTGCATGCAGCTGGCCTCTGGGTGGTTCTGAGCTGGAGCAACGTCTCCCTTTTCTCTAAAGGGGAGAAAACTCTGGAGGCCAGGTGAGCTAAAATATTTAACTGTATGTAACAGGCTAGTTGCACACACTAACACTGAACAAAGTAACCTGAGCTTTAAACATGTAATGTGTCTAGTGATGCCTAATATTTCTTGTGGTGTTGAAGAGCAACGCTAACCATTTTTCCCCTCTGTCCATAGTGTGTTTAATGTGAAGGTATAAGGGATAATGCTAGAGGGGTAGAGGGTACAAGTGAACTTAATAGGAACAAGGAGTGCATTAAATTCTTATTTTAGGTAGCATACTACTGATGGAATGTTGCCTGAAGGAATGTTTCTAATGTGTATCTGTTGAACATATCTCATTAATTAAACTCATCACACCTCGTACAGATAGCTAAGAAGGTAAAGAAGGGATTGCTAACTCTCCCAACTGCATGCTATTAATTTAAGCTTCACTTATAAATACTATTATAGCAGATTTCTGAACTGATGAATTTTCCCTCTAAGGACTTTTTTTTTGCAAAACATGATATTCCTGAAATTCACACCCTACAAAGAATTCTGAAGTAATGTCAAGTTATGTGTGTAGCAATTACCCTTGTAGCTGTAGACTTTCTTGAAGGACATATGTATGTCTCTAGGCATATATCTAGCAAAGAACAAATTATGAAACGTGGCCTGGTACTTCTGCAATTGCAAAAAAATCTTAGCTGAAGTCTTTATTTTGTTAAAAAATGAAATTTTTTCCTCACAGCTGCATCCTCTAGTGTAAGCTATGCATGTTTGAAGATACATGTATCTTGAAAACCGATTAGCAGAAAAGTATTAAAAATATCATTTCCTGTGTACGAAATGCTTTGATTGTCCTAGTACACAAGATTGGTAATTCAGATTTCAGTTAGAGACGTTTTGTAAGCACAAAGTTAAACTGTAGTTAAAGAATTAGTGTATATGTTAAATTACTTTGCTATGGTTCTGTACCACCTTTCGTCCAACTTTTAGGCTGTATCTGTCTGAAAACACTGCTATTCTTGTATGAAAAATAAGTTTCAGAGTCCTCTATATCATTTATATCCAAAAAGTAAAGGCAGTCACAGTTTTCTAAAATAGGCAGTATTGTGCAGAGTTAAGTTCTAGCCAAAATAAACGTTTCTGTTTTCATGAAAGGTGATGTAAATAGTATCAGTTACCACCAGTCTCTAAGGCACATAAGTAGATATAGTTATTATTCCAGTTTCATATCCAGTCTTGGAATATTGAACATATCGCAGTGTTTTTGAAATCAATTAAAACTTTTGTACAAAATTCTAAATGATTATTGCTTGCAAAAAAAAATGTTCATGTTCAATCACTCTTCTGTCCACCGAGGTGTTGGGAATTCATGCCCTTCTGTTTATTTCTGTCTCTGGCATTGAGTGTTTGGTGTGCTGGGAGATAAATGATGAGGACTTAGAAAAACACTAGAATATCTGTCTCTGCAGGTAAAGCCACTTTTTACAGACTTCTGGAAAGTGCGGAAATCAAAGTCTGACTCAATCCATGTGAAAATGAGTTAGAGATCCTCTGGGGTGAAAATGTGATTCTAGTTTCAATTATTACTGATGTTATCATTTGGTTACACCCTGAGGAGGTCTTGCAGTTCAGGACAGCCTGTATTTCATTTTTTTTTTCCAGATCTAATTTTTTTTTTCTGAAACTATCTTGGGCTTTGAAAATGTGAGAAGCAAAGCCAGATAGATAATTTAAAGATTTCTTAATTTCAAACTAAAACCAAAACCAAACAAACTAGCTAAAAATAAACAATTCTGCATTATGTCACCTAACAAACCAAGGCCATGAAAGCAAAATATTTCATGCAAAAGCAAAATTTATTATAAGTTCTTCAGTATTGAGACATGCTAGAAGAAAGAGTCCATGGTAAATTCCTCGTAGAATTTTAACTTCTGCATTGCATTTCTGCTGTTGGGGATTTAAATTGCAAACCTGATGCAATTTTTATGAAGACTCTTGTTGAACTTTGATTTTTAGATAATCTATATCCCTGAGCTTCTCAGCTTCCTGAAAGTGCCAATTATTGATTATTTGTCTCTACAAAAGTAAAATATGCTGTTTTATCCAATGCTATTCCCATTGCTTTCATATGCCTCTACCACTGTTTTCCAGATAACTACACCAGAACCATCACAGGCAAAAAGACTGTTACTACAAAACTTTCAAAATTAAATATATATTCTTTGAAGGGGACTAAAGGACTTCAGGCACTGACATTCTTATTGATGTTTCTTTTGAATTTGATAACAAAAATAACCCTGGATTTCCAGTTTCTTACTCAGTTTTCTTTTTCACAGAACTATGAAA